CAGGGAGGCTATTGATCTGAAGAACAAGACCTTGCTTGAGAAGTCGGACTTGGAGCCCTCTCTGGATTTCCTGGACTCCCTGGAGTATGACATCCCCAGAGGTAACAAACAGGCCATTACCTTCAGGGTGTGGGGCTGGCCTTCCGATCAGAGCCAACCATCCACCTTCCTTCTCTAAGGTCAGGGCTGAAAACTTGAGCTGGCATTGGCGGCTCACCAGTGACCTCTTGATCTCTTGAGGGTGGGTTTCACCAGAGCCTGGTTTTAAGTGGGGAGCAGGGAAGGAAAAGTGGCTCAGTGTCTCTTGAGATTTTAGCAAGAATGTTGTTGTCATTTTTAATGCACTTCTGAGCTTTTTTTTTTCCTAAGAAGTTTTTAATGTGTTTTTGTGTTTTGTTTGTTTTTCTTTTTCAAGACAGGGTTTCTCTGTATAGCCTTGGCTGTCCTGGAACTCACTCTGTAGATCAGGCTAGCCTTGAACTCTCGAACTCAGAAATCCGCCTGCCTCTGCCTCCCAAGTGCTGGGATTAAAGGCGTGCGCCACCACCGCCCGGCATGCACCATGCTATTTTAAGTTAAAAATTTTATTTTCATTTTCTTTAATGGATAAAACTATATTTATAATGAACACTATGATGTTTTAAAGTATATATATGCTTTATAAAGTAGTTCAGTCTAGCTGACAGATGCATTGCTTCAGATAGTTTTTTCCCCCAAGGAGCACACTTGTCTGCTACTGTGTTTCCCAGGGGTCTAATATAAAGTTGCCTGTGGTGGTGCAGACTTGTAATCCCAGGACTCAGATGCCTGGACTTCAGTGCACAACCCTATCTCAAATATATCTGCATTTATACGTCTATAATCCATACACTTCTGCATTTGTATTCATCGTTAACTACAGTTACCATGCTTTACATTAGACCTTTTAGATTTATTTCTCCACTCTATTGTCATTCTATTTTCTGTGTCCTTTGATGACATAACTCTATACTTCCTGACATCCAACCTAGCTCTGGTAACAGCCATCCTCCCCTTCTTCTTGGAGACAAGATATTATTATGTAGCAGGAGGATCAGAAGTTTAATGTCATCCTTGGCTACATAGTAATTCTAGGTCAGCTGAGCTACATGAAACCCTGATATTATTATTATTATATTATTATTCTGAGACAGGGTTTCTCTGTGTAGTCCTGGCTGTCCTGGAAAACACTCTGTAGACCAGGCTGGCCTCAAATTTGCAGAGAACCACCTGCCTCTGCTTCCTGTGTGCCAGGATTAAAGGTATGTGCCATTCACCCAACCAAAAACCCAAATATATATGATTTCCAGGCCCAGGAGTTCCTGGAAAGCTTTGGTGGGAAGAGTTGGGGAGGCTTAGAGGAAGGCCTGTGATCAGAAGGCCTTGGCAATGGGCTGCCCTGTAATGCCCTGGGACGGAAAGTTTTGTGGGGATGGATCTCTGGAAAGATCATCCTGCTGTCGGGTGCTAAGACGTCTCTGACTGTGGGCTTGCACCGGAAGACAGGTGGAGTGGTAGGCTGGGCAGCTGGATTCCTCGCGGGGACTCTGCTATTCAACACTCCTTAACCTTTTGCTCTGACAGCAGAGCATGGCGCAGCTGCTGCGTGCCAAGCTCTTCTGGTGCCCTTGGAATGAGAAAGACAACTCTCTTGTGTCAGGAGAGTTTGAGGGAAACCAAGAGAGGCTGAAAAACAGAGGTTATACTTGAACGCGCGGGGGCAGGGGCCCCCAGAGGAGTAGGCAGCACACGCCGCAGGGGGGGGGGGGTGGGCTGGGGTGGGGGGAGCCGGCAGAAAGTATAGCTGGGGTCCCAAAAGAGAGCACTCAGTGCAATGCCCAGTTTGGGCAGCAGAGGGCAGCAAGAGTCCTGCAGCCAGGAAACTGACCTTTAGAAGCCGCTGGTAGTTAGTGAGAACAGGGAGCGGGAAGAGAATGGGTAACGTGGTCTCAACCTTATGGGGTGTGTGTGTGTGTGTGTGTGTGTGTGTGTGTGTGTGTGTGTGTGCAGATGGCTCCCATGTCTTTTAGAAGTGATCCCTCACCTTTGGGAGGGTTGACTCTACCTTGTGGTAAAGGGAATGGTGGCTTTCAGTGGCCTGCAGTCACTTTTTTATTTCATTTTAAGTGTACGGGTATTTTGTTTGCATGTATATCTGTGTACCACATGTTCGCCTGGTGCCCGTGCAGGCCACCATGGTACTGGCGTTAGATGGTTACAAGCCATGCTGTGGGTGCTGGGAATCAAACCTGAGTCCTTTCAAAGAGCAGCCAGTGCTCTTAGCTGTTGAGCCATCTACCCAGTCCTTCCTGGCCACTGCTTCATGTGATGAAGTTTGGGGGCTGAGGCTTAGGCTGCCTGCCACCCCTCAACAGCTTGATCCGAGCCTGACCCTTACTCTCCCTTTCTTCCTGGGAGGCAGAAGGATGAAGTCCATTCCAGCCTAGGGCCCCACACTGGGGAGGTGGGCAAGACCCTGGCACTGGGAAGCCCAGGGGACCTCCTGCCAACTGCATAGGGTCAGCTGCTGAGTTCCAGGGTTGATCTTCTCCCCAGTCTCAGAACACAGGTATTCTGGAGAGGAAGCCAGGTCTGACGAGATCTGGGGTCAGGAACGGAGCCATCAGACTGTTTCTACAAAGGGCTACCACAGCTGGCTGGGCCCGGTTTTTCCATATTCACAGTTGATAGAGGTGAAGGCGATAGGTACACACTGTGTGTCTCCTGACACAGATCGGGGAAGAGAGAAGAGGGGGAAGGGAAGAGAGCACATGTGTGTGTGTGTGTGTGTGTGTGTGTGTGTGTGTGGTGTGTCTCCTCCCCTGCCCCCACGATGAGCTGACTGAACCAGGGAGGTTGAGAGGAGAGGGGCATGCTGGGAATGCAGGGGAAGGCGGAGAGGCTGGCCCCTGGCATGCTGCAATTCAGCTAGCACCCTTTGGCCTGCTTGGCCCTGCCCTCCTTGGCTTCTGTATTTTTTTTTTTTTTTTTAACTTCCTTGCAGTTTACCCATGTTGCTGGGCTTGGGCTACTCAGCCTCTGCTCCCATCTACTGGAAGCAAGAGGTGAGGCCCATGCCACCATGCTGTTGGCTGATAGATATCTGGCTGTAGTGGGGCTAGGGATAGACCCTAGGCTGTTTTCTCCAGGCTAGCGCTTGGGTGAGGGAAGCTACGAGCCAGCCTCTCTGGGTGGGCAGAGCAATCAGAATCTGGTCTTGCTTATCTCGCTGAGGCTGTGTAGCTGTGGGCTCCAAGGGCGAGGAGGGATTAGGTCTCTGAAGAAATCGGTCCAAATGATGCTCTGGGCCCCGGGTCTGTTTGTTGTCAAGTATCAAACATAGGGGCCCTGTTCTGTCATACTCCAACCACATCTCCGCTCAAGCAATGTTTCCTGGAGGCTTGTGACCAAGAAAGCCACCAAGGTTTCCAGGAGCCCAAAGAACAGCTGTTGGCTAGGTGTTATACCAACTAGGGCCTGATTCTTGATGTTTTAATTCCTTCTTGCTGGTGCCACTGTGGACCAGAGCAAGATACAAGCCCATGGTGTGGCCTTTACTTCACTGTCCCGTGCATGGGAGTCAGGACCGGGGTAGCAGACCTCCATGTTTCCAGAAAGCTCTGGTTTTGACCTGGGCAGGCAGCTAGCTACACAGGGATAAGCTTCTCTGATGCAGGGTGGCCCCTAGAGGGTGGAGACTGCTTGAGTCGTGAGGCTGCTGGGTGTGGAGTGACCAGGGTGGGCCACGGTTGGAGGTAGGCTGCGGGAAGCTCGAGTGGTGGGAGCCAGCACGGGGCTGAGCTGGCAACTGATGAAGGCTTCAGAACAGCCCTCCGAGCATAACTGGTTGGTCCTGTACCAAAACCTTCAAAAGTTATTTGCCTTCCTGGCAGGGCCCAGAGCAGGGCTGTGGCTGGTTTGGGGGGAGAGGCCTCGGTGCGCAGGGGAATAGAAGCCCAGATCTGCATCCAGAGGCGATTTTCCCAGGCTCCTTCCTCCCACACAGCGGCCCCCTCCCTTGGAGCTGGATCAGGCCCTTCCAGCCAAGTCATCCTGGCTACACAGCTCGGCCTGGGCTGAGCTGCCTGTGTCTGGAGTAGCATGGGGCAGACTAGGCAGTGAGGTCTCCCCCTACCAGGCATGGCTCCACTCACCAGCAACTGGGAAGACCACTGAGGCGGAGGCCTGAAATGGCCCAACTTCAGCTTGGCCCCTGGGTGTCTCATCTGTCTTAGAGCAGAGGCTCAAGGTCAGATTTACTCTGGAACAAGGAAAAGGAGCCACACCATCTGCAGGTCCCCTAAGTCCTAGCTTGGTGGCTCACCTTTTCATGATCTTCCCTCTGTGTCATGAGCAAGTGGCTGTGGCAATCAGCACAGCACCTTTCACAGTGGGACCTCAGCACCAGCCTCAACTGTCTGTCCCCTCCAGGGTCCTGGAGCATCCAGATGGAACGGGGCAACGCGCTGGTGGTCCTGCGCAGCCTGCTCTGGCCAGGCCTCACCTTCTACCATGCTCCCCGCTCCAAGAACTACGGCTACATCTATGTGGGCACCGGCGAGAAGAACATGGACTTGCCCTTCATGCTCTAGGAAGGCAGGCTGGATATTTATGTGAGCCCAAACACTATTTCATAAAGTTCAACCACTGGGCCTGTTTGTTTTGTCCTAGTTTTTGTCATTTTGTCTCTCTGGCATCTAGTCACCTGGCTCGGAAAGGCCAGGAAATGTAATTCTGAACCAAGAGGCAGAAGCCTGGGACGAGCTAATGAAGGATGCATGGCTGGGAGGAGACGGGTGGGAAGCGGTGGGCAGGGGCCTGCTCAAGCTCCTGGAGTCAACTGTAAGCCGCTAGTAACTGACAGTCACTAGGCTGAGCACAGTGCGGTGCCATCAGCAGATGCACCTGCTCCAGTTACACTGACAGGGCCCGCTGCACACACAGTTCCCTACTCTGCACAGTCTGGGAACCAGCACTGAGCACACGGGGAAGCAAAGAGCCTGCTTTATTACATTTCCTTGGGTAAGTCTCCTGCCCCAGCTCCGACCTCAGCCCCAGCCAGTCAGAAGACCACAGTGGCCAGGAGATCCAAGGAACAGAAGTTAGTTCCAACATCCTTGTGCTGTTTGTGAAGGACAGTAGTTCTGGTGGGAGGGGCAAGTGCATCTTCTGGAGGGTTCTGTCAGGTCGTCAGCAGTGTTGCCCTCATTAATGCATCAGCTTCAGAGGCCTTCTGGAGTAGCACACATTGTCTCTGAGGAGTGGTGACCCCACAGCCATACGCACCTTGTTCCAACGGTGACCTTTTTTGTAGATGGGCTTGACAGACTTGGGAGCCCAGCGAGTCAGATAGCTGTAGTGGGAACACAGAGAGGTTGCCTGATGGGCAGGAAGAGCCAGACACTGTCTCCTGGGGCTGGGCTGCAGGGGCTGTGCAGCCTCCTTCACCAGTTTTCCTTTCTCAAAAGGCAAAGCGCTTTGGGGGGAGGGAGGAGAAACTGCTGTTTTGTAAACAGATGGGCTGGGCTCTTGCTGCTACAAGTGTGTGGTCAGGGTTGAGGCAGGGTCAGGCAGTCCAGGCCCGGCTCCCTTCACCTTTAAGAACTGTCAGTGTGCATCCACAGAGCAAGGAAGGCAGAGAAGAGGCTGCTTGGACAGCAGGTCTCTGGCCTGAAGCTAGAGACAGGAATGTGAAAGCCTGGAGAAAGCTTGCACTCTTCCCAATTGGCTCCTTTAGACATCCTAGCCTCCAGGGAACTTCCTGGGCACCTCAATCGTTGCAGGACCCCATCCCTCACCCGTAGGAAGCAAGGGATGAGCACAATGGTGCAGTCCCAGTCCAGCAGGTTTCTGTAAGTGGGAGGGGGCAGGGAAAGATGGCGGCCACCCATGGCCCTCTGGCCTCCTCTGGGGATAGCCTAGGCTTTGATTGTTCCTGGAAAAGTAGTTCATAGTACCAAGACTGGGGTTTACTCTGTTCATAATGAAACCTGGCTCCTGATCAGGAAGGCCCATCCTTCATACTCAAGAGTTCAGCCACGAAGGCCAGGGGTCCTCCTGTGTTCTATTCGAGGTTGAGGCTTGCCCTGGCTGCCTCTAGAGGCCCTCAAGTATTAGTTTAAAAACTAGTATTCCTGGCAGAAATTAAATTTACTTTTTGGCTGACATCTTCTGGCTGACAAGGGATTGCTGATTCATGCCTTTTCATCACGCTCCTTTGGACCTTGGTCTTCAGCTGTTAGCTGCATGCAGAGGGAGAGCTACAGGAGGTCCAGCCTGTCCCTGTGTGCTGGGCACAGGAGGGAGGAAGATGAGGCCTTCCTTAGTTGGCTGGAGATACCAACACTGTACTGGGGTATTGCCTGCACAGGGGCTGCTGTTTCTATGGTCAGTTGTTCTAGGTCAACAGGTTAGTCCAGCATAAGTTCCCTCACCCCCAGCTGGCCCTTTTGCTGGCCTCTCCCACTCCCCAGAGGGAGAGGTGAGATGGGTTTATGAACAGGCCCATGAAATAGGGTGTTCACCAGGACTCAAGGACTTGAGAAGACCCCGGCTGACCAGACTCGCCATAGCTATCCTCTGCTCTCCTTCAGTTAGCCTTGGCTGCCTCTGTGCCACGTGGAACAGCCAGCTAACTGGGGTAGGTTGGGGGCATCCAAAGAGCTCTCTGTGGACACCTCAGCTCTGGCTACATCCTACCTCTCCTGAGGAGGGTCTGGCCTGGACATGTGTGCTAAGCACAGGAGAGAAGGAGAGGGGATACTGTCCTCTCTGCTGGAGAAGACAGTGCTGTACCAGGTGCGGAGGACACAGAGAGCGAGCAGGGCCTAGGCCCTTGAGTGCAGCTTAGGGGCCTTTGGGTGTAATCGGAGTGTCCCCTGTACAGAGATCAGTACCTCCTGAGCCAGGACTTCCCTTCCCCCAGGATGGCCTTTTGCAACTCAAGAGCCCCCACACATCATCAATCCCGTGTCACACTAAAGGACACCGGATGTAAGGGAGGGAGCCTGGCCTAGCTTCAAAGGCCTGAGGGCAGGATGGGTTGTGTCCTCAGGCTTGCTGCTGTCTCTTAAAAAGCCAGGGTTGGGGGTGGGCTCAACCCCAAACAGACCAGAGCATGCCCTGCTCCTTGGGACTGCTGGCAGCCAGCCGAGCCCAGCTCAGCTTGGGCTCAGAATCTAGGGATGGGGGAGGCAAGGCACAAAGCAGCCAGCCTCGATTACCCTATCTCTACCCTCTTTGCCTAGCAACCGGGTCTTCCAGCCTCTACCTCGGCTCTGGCAGGGATCTCTGCAAAGGTCTATGGGGCTGGAGAGTCTGGCTCGGCCTCAGTCCTCCTGCAGTGTCTCTTGCTCACAGGACCAGAGGCAGCCTGACACACTGGAGGTGAGAGGAGCTGCTAGTCGCGGGCATCAATTCCCTGCAAGATCAACTCTAAAGACCCAGCTCTCTGTTGAACAACGGCCTGTTAGTGATGTCAGGGAAAGGGGAGCCAGCAAAAGGACAGTGCTCTGAGAGTTAGGTGACAATCTGCTCTCACTGAGGAGGGGCCTGCAGAGCCACCTGCTGGTGCTGGAGGGCTGATGTGCATCTGTTCTCAGGATAAGTCAATGGCATGGCAGTTGTGTGGGCTGTTAACTTCATGACTACAGGGCGTGCACGGGTGGTGACTGACTGTGCAGGCTGCTTTGATGCGACCCTGTGTACATCCCCCTATCCCAGACAGTCCTCCTGTAGCTAAGGCCTTCCTCTGCCCTGGAATGACCCCAGTGCTAGAGAGAGCTGGGACATCAAGGTTTGTAGACGTGCTCTGACTTCCCCATAGCAGCTCTGTGTGATATGAACAGGGATTGACACAGTCTAATGCCCAACCAGCAGCTTCCTTGCCCCTGGGTCAAGGCCCTCTAGGAAAGAAAGAGAAGAGCTGGGTCAGGAAGGTGGCAAATAGCATACAGTACAGCCATGGCAGGAACGGTAGGTGTGTGTTTGGGCTGGCTGGGAATGGAGCAGACAAGCAATACCCCAGCGCTCTCAGGCTGCTGTGAGACCCACACTTCCCTAGAATGCAATGAGGTCCAGAGGCCCCAGAATGCTTGGGTTAATTGTATGCATGTCTTCTTACCGGTTGAGCTTGGGTTTATCCTTTGGTAAGCATCCCTCTGGAAGCTGTGGTCTGTGATTTGGGAACAGACCTGAGTGGAAGGAAGAACATATGAGGGTCAGTCTCCACAGTTCTGAAAGGGCCCCGGGTACAGACCACAGGAAGAGGGAGGAAGTGTGTGCGTGTGTGCATGCGTGCGCACATGTGTGTGCGTGTCACAATCAACATTCTGCTCACCACCTCTCTTCCAGCTTCGACAGCTGGCTGGGAAGAGGAACTGGAGTCCCCACCACCCCTCTTAGCCTTGGGTACTGTGACCTGCCCGATGAGCCATCTTCACGCACTCCTCGATTTTTCGATGTTCCTCCTTGCACAAGCCGGTGACACTCCGGGGCAGCATGCCTCCGTGAGGCCGGATGAACTGACTGAGCAGCAAAACATCCTAGTGAAAACCAAGAACAGGAATGTGGGTCGGATGGGTGTTCTTGGATGTTGGGAACCTGAACCGTGGGCTCCGCAGGGCTCCCAGCACCTCCCCCAAAATGTTCTCACATCAGATGAGACCAGAAACGCTGTAGTGAGTGTTTTACCACCAGCCTTTCTTGGTATAGGATGCCTGGTGGTTATTCTCCTCTGCTGATGGGACATGTCAAGTATTTCATGAGAGGAATGCCTGTTTCACCTCAGTCTCAGGACTGAGATGGCACAGGTGAAGTGCAGAGACAGTTGTTCCTGCTCAGGTGCTAGGCAGGCACCTGAGCTGAGAAGGAGGGAACCAGATGTGAAGTTGAGTCAATGTTTCCGAAGCCCTGTTATCCCGCAGGGAAGGGGTCCTTAGGCTTCTGTGTAGCCCCCCACACCTAACAAACTATGTGGGATAAGTCTAGCAAGAAGGACAAACCCTCTCCCCCACTACACATGGCTCAAAGGGTTAATACTTGCCCTTGCCAGGGCCCACTGCCAGCCTCAGCAGCCGCTTGTCCGTTTAGCAGTCTGCTGCCTTGGCTGTATTGCAATACAGCTGCAAATCTGTTTTCATCACTAAACAACTCTGGGGACCCAGGTCTGGAACCCTCAGCCCTACACTCAGCAGAAGCAGGTAACAAGACTTGGGCTAAGCCACAGCTAACACGCTGGCTTGTATCCTCAGACTCTTTATTGCAGGCTGCCAAGCCAGCCGACAGTTGCACACAGCTTGGGCCAATAGTGCTCCTAGTGGAAAGGGGAAAAGGAAAAACAACTTCAGCCTTTACCTCGGAAAGAATTAGATTTCTTCTCCTGGAAAAATGGAGCCAAATCAATTTCCTGGAAAGGCCAGCAGGAGAGTGCCCAGGGTGTCTGGGCAGGGGTGGGCGCTGCCTGCCTCTGTAGCCAAGACACTGAGCATGTCTGTATAGTCACTGGCATCCACGGAAGAGGCTCTGACCTCAGCCTTCCGCTGCACTCTCTCAGCACCTGAGAGAACCCAGGGCAGGGGAGAGCCTTGCTCCTGCCCCCACACCTGGGGGTGGACTGAAGCCAAGGTCCCTGCCCAGGAGACTAGCTGGGTCACTCTGTTCAGATCTTCCTGGTCTTATCACCTGGTCAGGATCTTTCCCCTTAGTCATTCTGTGCCTCAAAGGGAGAACTGGGACAACACAGGTCAAACTGGTCCAGAGCCTGAATCACCTGAAACCCCAAAAGAGAGTGTTCATGTCCCCAGTGAGCACTCTAGAGAACAATGTGGGGTACCCAGGGCCACCTCCTGTCTTCTGCAGGGTAGCAGCTAGCACACGGCTCTGCCCGGCACCTTGGATTTGGAGCCCAGTGCTGGTACTTAGTGCTGGGTGGATTTGAAGCCCAGTGCTGGTACTTAGTGCTGGGTGACTGCAGCACAGTCGTTAACTTCTTCATGCTCGAGACTCCCTCACGGCAAAGCAAGGAAGAGGAAGTCCCTACTTCATAGGGTTAATCAGAAATCTAAGTGCTGGTAAATGGCTCAGCCAGTAAACACACTTGCCGCCATGCCTGACTATCTAAGTTCCATCCTTGGGGTCCACACAAAGGAAGGAGAGGACTGACCGACCTCCATGCCTGTGCCTTGGCATCTGTGCCCTCACACGTACACACACTCCTCAAGGGAGAGAGGATGAGTGAGGGGGAGAACGAGAACTATAGGGAGCTGTATAAAGCCTATGACAGGCCAGGCCAGGGCCGACTGGAGCAGCCCCACCCTTGCTATGCTGTCTGCGTCTGGGTATGGTCACCATCATCTCTTTTCCCAGAAGCAGCTGTTCTGGAAGAGCTAGAGCAGCTGGGTAGTCTGGAGCTCCACTGTGGAGACAAGAATGTGTCTGCAGATCACACTGTGAACTAGCTCATTACCTAAGGGGAGGAGAGCAGAATTCAGACCTGACTGCATCCGTGGGAGAACTACCCCTGCCATTCCGAGCAAGGCCACAAGTGCAGCAGTGGCCTCCAGCCCCACAGCCCATGAGAACGCTAACAATGCCAAGCTGACTAGGTCTGTTTGATGCTGAGTTGTTTGAGCAGTGATTTTCCTTTTAAAAAAAAAGTGTCTAAGTGAGTTTCCTCTGTGTGTATATGTGTACCACATGCTCCTCAGTACCCTTGGGGACGGGGAGCATCTCGATGCTACTGTAGAACTGGAGTTCAGGGGCTGCGAGCTGTCCTGTGGGGGCTAGGAACTAAATTCCCTTTGCAGGAGAAGCAAATACTCTTAACTGGTAAGCCATCACTCCGGCCCCATTATTTCTTTTTACTAAAAACAAAACAAAACAAAACAAAACAAAACAAAACAAAATTTTATTTTTATTTTATGCATACAGGTGTTTTGGCTGCACGTATGTGTGAGTACCATGAACATGCAATGCCTGTGGAGGCCAGAAGAGGGTACTGGATTCTTTGGAACTTGATATATACAGTTCTTAACCACTGTGCTCCTGTTCAGAACTGAAACCCTGTCCTCTAGAAGAACAGCCAGTGCACTTAATCACTGAGCCATCGCTCCAGCCCTCAGCCCAGTATTTTGTCAAGCTCCTTAGAGTCTATCCCATGGCCAGGGTTGACGCTACTGGACAGTGATGCCTTTGATAGCCTTGTGGAATGCAGCTGTCACTATACGGGGAGGACAGTGCTCAAGATAAGAGGCCCCTGACTCCAGAGAATGCAGGATATGGTCTTTACGTCCACACTTACCTCATAGGTATATTTGTGCTTCAGGTTCCAACGGCAGATGGGGCACTGGCCTGAGGGGTTAGGGGGATTTGGAGTCGCCTTGGGAGTTTCTGTGATTCGGCCTTCAATCTAAGAAGCAGAAAAAAAAAAGTCCAATGTGAGAGCCATGGTCAGACATGCAAGTCATTAACTCTGAGCACACCCTGCATGAATACCAGTCAGAGCTTACTTCTGGGGGTCACATGGCAGCAATTAACAGGTCCGATTGCATGGTGGAGATTTTCTGTAGCTGCTATATGCTGGGCCTTGGTCACGGGGATGTGATTTGGTGGCCAGACAGGTGATGAACACCTGTAATCCCAGCACCAGGTGGCAGGGGCAGGAAAACTGTTCAAGGCTAGCCTGGGCTACACAGTATTAGGTTCCAAGCCAGCAGAGGTTATACAGTATGAATCTTGCTTCAGACAAAACAGCAATGACCACGCAGACAGACATGAAAACTGGCAACTTAGAAGAGTGATCTCAACCTTGCTGACACTGCGACCCTTTAACACAGCTCCTCAGGCTGGGGTGACCCCTAACCACAAAATTATTTTCATTGCTACTTCATGACTTAATTTTGCTACTATTCTGAATCCTAATGTAAATATCTGTATTTCCTGATGGTCTTTTGGGGGTCGAGACCTACAGGTTGAAAACTGCTGAACTAGAAGAATGGCTTGCTGTTCAACTGAATGCTATTTTCCTTCCTCGACAAGCCACAATAAAATATCTGAACCCCAGGCTTCCCCTGCCTCTGGGAAAGGTGACACATGCTCGGGGTTAAAAGTTCCAAATGGGGGCTGGAGAGATGGCTCAGCAGGTAAGAGTACGTCCTGCTCTTGCATAGGACTGGGCCTTGCTTTCCCAGCATCCAGTTCCAGGGCAATCTGAGGCCCTCTTTTGGCCTCTGAAAACATGCATATGTATACATACAGACAGCTAGACACACACATAGAAAAAGTTCCAAATGGCATAGAGAAAGATGCGCTCTTCAAAGAAAATGCCTGCCTATTCTGCACATTATCTGCAGAGAGCACTGTTTCCAGCTTTATGGAACAAAACAAAGTCAATGCTGGTCCTGACCAGAGGTGATGTGTGCCCTGAAACCCCCCTTGGCCATGTGTGGGGACATTTTTGATTGCACAATTGGAGAAGGAGTATTACGGGCACCTAGCAAAGATATACAGGGAGTCCCTCACAACAAAGAGTGCCAGCCAACGCTGCAGCTGAGAAGCCCTGAGAAGAGCAAGACAAGCGAGCATCTGCGTGCACTGCTGCTCCTCTCTCCCTCTGCACAGAAAACCCTGGCAGATGAACACAATAGAAGCTCTCCTCTAAAAACAACCAGGGGCTCACTAGGTAGCCTTAGCTGGCTTGAACTCATAATGTAGAGTAGGCTGGCCTTATACTTGCAGTGAGTTCTGGGATTGTAGTTCTCTTCACCTGTATCATTTTGGATAACACCTTTTAAATACTCTGCAGAGGCCACGTGTGACATGACCTTCCCATTAGGGATGTATCCTAAGCCCCAGCCTTGGAATGGAATGGCTAAGTGTCCTAGAACAATGATCTGGGGATCAGCTTCAATTGCAGGGGAGCTTAGCCTGAGAGCACAGTGGGATGGATTTGAGAGGCACTGGGACAAAAGTAACCTTGTCCTGGGGCTGGGACCGGCCAAGGGACAGAGGCTAGAAGTTCTGCTCAGTTATGCCAGGCACTACTACCCACCCCCGTTTCTACCATGGCAACCCTAAACAGAGAGAAGCTGTGGGACAGGGAAAAATCTGAAGGTGCATGGGAGGCCCTGGGAGGGGCCTTTAGGGCCCCAGGAGAGAGCTAGCACCCACTGGCTCACGGTTACTCACCCCCCCAGGAGAGAGCTAGCACCCACTGGCTCACGGTTACTCACTCCATTCTGTGCTAAGAATGGCTCACATATACCAGTCTATTTAACGCCCACAACTATGTGGGGCAGGCGTCGGATCTTATTTTGGAGGATAAATGGCCACAGTCAGCCATAGCAGCACCTGACCAGGCATGCACGGGCTCACCCCAGAGTCACAGTGTCTCCATATGCCTTCTACAAACAGCAGATCCATGTCTCACGTGAAAAAACCCTCTTTACACTTAAAAGTCAATGTGAACAGCACCAATAGCTGGCAAGTAAGCTTCAATTCTGAATGCCTAACAGAATCTCTGAAAGATGCTGTTACTGGTCATGAACTAGTTAGTTCTGAAGAGTCTGAAGATGGCAGCTGAGATAGCCAGACATGGTCTGCCAGGGTCTTCAAGGGAAAGCAGAAACAGCCAACAGGAGAATAAGCAACCTAATGAGCTAAAAAAAAGGCTGGACCCAGGACAGCAGCTGTAATAGCAGGAGATGCAGTGGGTAGGGGGATGCTCTCAGGACAGCAGCTGTAATAGCAGGAGATGCAGTGGGTAGGGGGATGCTCTCGGGACAGCAGCTGTAATAGCAGGAGATGCAGTGGGTAGGGGGATGCTCTCAGGACAGCAGCTGTAATAGCAGGAGATGCAGTGGGTAGGGGGATGCTCTCGGGACAGCAGCTGTAATAGCAGGAGATGCAGCCGGAAGGGGGTCTCTTTAGCACTGAGCACTCTGGACCCAGAAAAGCAGAAGCAATATGCTACTTCAAAAGTCTGACATCAGCTGGTGTGATGGCACACGCCTTTACTCCCAGCATTAAGGAGGTAGATGCAGGCAGATCTCTGTGAATTTGAGGCTAGCCTGGTCTACACAGAGTTTTAGGATAGCCAGGACTACAGAGAGACCCTGTCTCAAAAAAACAAAACCAAAAAAGACTGATGCCACTCTTTTCTCCATCATACAGTTTATAGGGTGAATGCTTGTTTTAGCTTTTTTGTCATTTGAAACATGGTCTCATGGAGGCCAGGCTTACCCTGATCTCACTAGAAAGCTGAGGGTGAGCCGGGCGGTGGTGGCGCACGCCTTTAATCCCAGCACTTGGGAGGCAGAGGCAGGCGGATTTCTGAGTTCGAGGCCAGCCTGGTCTACACAGTGAGTTCCAGGACAGCCAGAGCTGCACAGAGAAACCCTGTCTCGAAAAAAAAAAAAAAGAAAGCTGAGGGTGGCCTTGAACCCCAGATTCTCTAAGTACAGGAATTACAGATATGCACAATCATGGCCAGACTGCTTTAGGTTTTAATCAGAGGACAGAGAAGTGCCTTGAGGATATGAAGTTCCCTGAAGAGTAAGACTCAGGCGACACTAATCAGTGGGAAGGCCGAGGAGGTATTCTCAGAGAAGAATGACTGCATTTCTCCCGGGGATAAGACTGTCTTAGGGTACAGTACATTTGGCTAACTGCCAGAGAGGTTAAGCCCCTGGTCGACATGGAAGTTCTTGAGCCCTTCTGGGAGCTCTGTAAGGTGGCTGAGAATTTCTTGGAGGGATAGAAGGCCATGTGAAAACAAGGTTGTCTTTTAAGGATTATGGGATAATCTAGGCCCCATGACTGACTCCTCAAGGGAGGTGACATGGGCCCAGTGAGGGAGAGGGGGGCATGGGAGGAAGAATCGTTCCAGCTTTCTTACCAAAAGACAAGCCTAGGGCCTGCCACCTCCTAATGCATCATTTAAGGGTACTAAGTCACTCCAGATAGAAGGCAAGGATCAGAAGGGCAGGCCCCTGGCCCTGGGCCAACTAACTCTAGCTGTGTAGCCTGCAAATGCTGCCTTAGTTTCCCCTGTGGGAAACTGATTTATCACCTGCCAGAGAACATATTAGTAAAGGCCTCTGAGACTTTGTCATACAAAAGGTCACTTTAATCAAGTAACAGATACCTCAGCACAGGCACAGTGACTGTTCCTGATTAACCACACTACGGCACACAGCCCGAGAAATAGTAGACTTCAGGATTTATGGTCTCAGAGGGAGCAGATCCCGGAGCCAGGAGTCCACGTTGGGCCTCCGTCCATCCATCCCTCAGAGGAGCAGCCAGGCGGCTCCGAACGTTAAGGAGGTCGTGAGTGGCCAACGCAGCGATACTTACTACAGTCGTCTTCCCTTCTTGGATCTTCACCACTACAGAGATAAAGGGGAAAAATTAGGTCAGCCATTTAATAAGGAACAGGGAGTTTCAAATAACAGCTCAAATTCTACACAGGCAGAGGAGAGGAGCCTTCAGTCTGCACTCTCCCACGGTCCCTGCCTGGGAGAGAAAGTAAGCAGGGTTCACCCCTGAGTGCCAGGGCTCTGTGCCCTTGAGGCTGACTGTAGGCAAGTCTGGGATGCACAGGCTGCAGCATCTCTGTAGGATTAAGGGGCTCCAGGCTGGGTTTTGTCTTTTGAAGCTGAGATTCATCTTGATTCTGTCCAGAAGAATTGGCAAACTGAATAGCTGTGGCAGGAAAATTGCTATGAGTTTGAGGCCAGCCTGGGCTACAAAAGTAAACCAGAAAGCTTTCAGAGCAACAGGCCTGGAAGGGTGAGAAGTACCCTTTGCACATGTCCCTGTGCAGAGTGAATCAGCCCAAAGGGGTTTCTGTAATCTAAAACACAGTACTGTCTGTGTTCCAATGGTGGCTTATCAGTGAACAAATAAATCCACTCCCCAAAATGTATCCTGAGAATCCCATGTCAAGGCTGCATGAAACTGGCCATGAGGGAAATCCTCTCTGCTCCATGCTTCTTCATCTCTCCCTGTAGGGGTCTGTTCTGTTCCTGTACCAGGGCCTCCTGATGCCTGAGGCGAGACCATCAGCTGCACACATCTGTCAGCTGCATACACGTCCCATCTCACCTCACCCGGCCACTGAATGACAAGGCCATGGTACTCAGAGCTGCCAGCTCACACACAGCAACTGTTGTTGGAGAGTCTCCCATGCTCCTGGCTTGTTTAGAAGGAAAGAGCCACCGCTGCTAGCAAGAAACCGGCACAGCAATCAATAATCAATGAGTGCTATGTTTAAGGACTGAGACCACCGTCACCGTCTCCTTTTAGCTCTTAGCTGCTGCATTAGGAAGCCTGAGCTCACGTCATCTGTACACTGCCTCTCCTATACAAAAGCCACTCGAGAGGAGCCTGGCTACCACAGTTCAGTTTCACTCAGTTCCAACTAACATAATAATACAGACTAGAAAAGCCCCTGAGATCCTTGCTTTGAGAATCCAGTGGGAGCTAAAGATCTCTCCCTAGGAAACACATCCAACCACAAACACACACGTTAGCTATGGGCTGCAGAAGGCCCTCAGCCAGCTGTGGGGTGTGTGAGAGACCTGGCCATCCCTCAGCCAGCTGTGGGGTATGTGTGAGAGACCTGGCTATCCCTCAGATGTGGAAGGGGGTACTTCTGCTTCTTCTTTTTGCCTATCTTATTTTCCAAAATAAACATATACTGCTTCTGCAAAAACATAATATAAACAATAAAAAGAGAAGGGCCTAAGGGAAAGGCAATGCTAACCCAATCAGAGTCCATGTCAGCATGTGACCAGAGAGCTCTGTGACCAACACCTAATTGAACACAGGTTGTCTGGAATTATCCTTCATTTGTTTTCTGGGCAGACCATTCATAAAGAATCATTACTCCAAAACAACCAAACTGAGAGCCCTCCATGTCCAAGTCCAGACACAGAAAACTGAAACAATGACCAGAAAACCCCAGAGCCTTTCTTTGGAAAACATTGTAGCCACTTATGTGAACTACATTCCCTGTGTGTAAAAGAAACTGCGTCACCTCACACACGGTTCTACTTGTCCAGGACAGACACCAACCCATGAACGGGATGTGGGTGAGACTCAACCTGGTCGTCAGCCTAGAAGCCAGCACAGCTGCAGTGGGAAAGTCACCATGATGTGTCCATTGCAGAATGGCCCACACAAGGGGCCCAGGGAGAACAGAAGAAGAGCATATCCCTACCCCATGGTAGACCCAGGTACCTTAGAAACCCTGCTACTTTGGAGAACTCAAACTGGGGGAGGGCCAGAGGGCAACTGAATGGGAGCGACAACAGGTGGGGGGGGGGTTCTGAGAAGTCTCAGGAAACAAAAGCAGGGACACATTCTTGTACCACTGAAGTCAGCATCAGGACAATGGCCTGAAACACAAAGAACATAAACATGTGGTTTCCTTCTTGGTCCAGGCACTTGGGCCCTAACCATGAGGTAAACAAGTCTAACGAAACACACATCACTCTAGGCGAAGACCCAAGCCCTGAAGTCATCCCACTGGCCCCTGGAAGAGAGATCAAAGCCCATGGCAAGCTCCACTGTTCACAAGCTCTCCCACAGCAGCGTCGAGCCAGTGAGTGTCTTTCTAGAAGCTAGTGGGTAAAACAATAGGCAGATACTTATCTAAGAGAGACAATCTGTCAAACCAGAGGGATGACCCAGGGAACCCGGGGAGACAGAGATTGATCAGGGTGGTGAGTTAGTGTAGAGGGGGAAGGGCCGCCTAGGGCCTGGAGAGGCCCCGAGCAGATTTTAAGCCTCTGGAAAGCGGAGATAAGAATCAAAAATAGTATTGCTTTTCAGTGTGCATGGATAAACATGGCAAACCCAAACAAAACCCGAGATCCATTTTGTCTTGGGTCCCCTCTTCATTCAAGAGAAGTGAGGCAGATAAGAAAGCCAGGCTAAGTGAGGTTCAGGCACCCAGAGAGAACTTGTTAGGAGAAGACGCAGCCATGCCTGCATCCTGAGAGTTGTTGGCATGAAGGAAGCCACCGGAGACGCACTGCTTCCTAAGCACAGCGGAGGCTGCAGCTCTCACCATAGCACCCCTTGCCCACAGAACGATCTGTGCCAAGTGAGGCCGCACGTGCACGAGAGTCAGGAAGTCAGCTCACTCTACCTCCTGGGCAGAGTAACAGCACAACAGTAAGGCACACTCTTTGCCTTGGAGGAGAGAAGTAAAGCAAGGATGGGAAGTTCAGTCATAAAGCCCAGGCCTCATAAAGAGGTCCTCTGAGTACTTCAGTAAGTACTCCCAGGATGGAGTCCAAGATAACTGAATTCTAACAGCCTGGAGCAAGCAGCAACATGCTGAGGCTGCAGTGGGTGCAGAAGCCCATGATAGACACATCAACTGTGGCTAGACAGACTCAACCGTTTAGTAAGGAGGCAGAGAGGGAACACGGATGACAGAGGGGTGCAGGGCCCCACAGTAGCAAGTAGCTTAAGAAACCGAGGATCTGTGGATACCGAGATCTAAGCAGAGCATGGCTGGAAGGCAGTTCTCTGGCCTGACTGCTCACACTGCTTGTGCTTCTGGCCCCCACGTGCTCTCCTCAAGCACCATCTCCTTCTGCCCACCGTCTGAACTGCTGGCTCTGTAACAGCCTCCTATGGCCCTCTCCTGAAATTCCTGATGGGATGTCCCTGTGTCCTGGGCCTCAGAATGACTCCTATTGCTACTTAACACATTTTCCCATTAGCAGAATACTCAAGTCCTAGCCCCCCACTTGCTCATCCCTCTCAAAGATCTCTGACAGATCTGCTGGACCTATCAGAGAGCAGTTCTTAGGTTACTGAAAGAGAGGAAACCTACTCCCATTTGCCTGCCATCATTTCAGTACATTCTGTCTTAGGATCAGAGTTGTTAACTCATGTGTGCTTGGTTTCTTGTTGTGAATGTATTTCCTTCCCAGGGGCTCTCAGCATGGTAAGACAGGGAATCTCTAACACAATCCTTACCAAGTCTGACATTGTCATTGATGAAATCACTAAATGTTCTTTGGCAAGTTAACTGCTAAGGGCCTTTCAGAAAAGGAGGGAACAAGAGGTAGGGCCTGCCACAGAGTACTGAGGTTGTGTTATACTGGAGACGAGAGAGTGTTGCCTCTACTTTCAACTCTACTTCTTACAGCTCAAGCTAGGCACAATACCACATCTTTACAACTAGATTCCCACAATCACAAAATAAAGACAGCTACCTTTAAGGAAGACTGAGTAGACGGTTTATGGAAAACCTCGCACATTACTGCAAGAAGCCTGAGTAGATCACAGCATCCTTATTTGTCTCCCTTCAGTCTTGCTTCTTCCACAATTCGTTCATTGTCACTTCGGGCTGTACGGACCTGTCAATCACTCACCTCCACCCCCAACTCAGAGACAGGGCTTACCTGTGTAGCTCTGGCTGGCTGGGAACACTCTTAAGTAGGCCAGGCTGTCCTTAGAATTCACAGAGATCCTCCTAGCTCTGCCTCTGCCTCCCAAATGTCAGGATTAACAAAGCCTGGCGGTGGTGGCGTGCACCTCTAAACCCCAGTGGTGAGGCAGAGGCAGGCAGGTGGATCTGAGTTTGAGGACAGACTAGCCTTACAGAGTGAGTTCCAGTATACCCAGGGCTACACAGAGAAATTCTGTCTTGAAAATTCAAACCCCACTCTAACCCCCACCCCGTTGTGTGTTAAGCCAGCCTGTCTTAACATCAGCATGGCTGACAGTTTGGGCTAGGTGGTTCTTTGTTGTGGAACTGTAATGTGTGTTGTAAGACATGTAGTGGGATCCCTATCCACTCACTCACCTGGTACTACCAGTTCTAACAACCAAAAAGGTTTCTTGACATTGCCAAATGTTTTGGGGGTGAGAGTGGAGAGTGGAGGACCACTCCTGACTGAGAAACAGTGCCCTACACTAAAAGTTTATAGCAACAATACTGGTACTTGGTCCTCATACAGTACCTTTGCTTCTTGATTTCAAGTCTCATGAATTCTTACTATAGTTATATAGTTTCATCTTTGAAAAACAAGAGGCTTGAATATTTTCAGCAAGAGACTTGGCTTATTTTCCACAACTGTAAATGTTATATGTATTCTAGTGACAATACTATTCAAGTGACAAGCATCCTCACTAGAATGAAAATCAGCTGAATGTGCCTTACCAAAGGGGAGAGTGCACATGGCTCACTTAAAGGTTGAGATGGGTGATCCAAAAGAATAGAACGCAGGACAGTGTTTTCATGTAAAAGCATACCAATTCAATTCAATATTTAGTCTGTGGTTCAGGCTGTCTCAACAGTGGCTAAGACAGGAGAGTTGCAATCAGGTACTTGTAAAGAAGACTCCGAAGACTGAGTAGATAGTTTATCATTCCACAAACTCTCCAGCTAAGAAGCCCTTACCCAGGAGGCAGAGGCAGGTGGATCTCTGTGAGTTTAAGGCCAGCCTGGTCTACATAGCAAGTACAGTGAGACGCTGCCTCAAAAACCCTAAAGAAGCTTTACGTTGTGTTTCCAAAGGGATGTGCAGTTTGGGGCTGTTATCATCTGACATGGCAGTTACTTTCAAACACATTATGAGCTTAAGCCCAATGCTGCAGCATGGGGGACACCTGACAACCTTATCCAAGTCCACTCTGTCATCCACAAGATCTCTTTGGTGACCTTCTTGATGAGTTAATCTGACTCTACTCAGGCAGCATCTTGACTTTCTGTTTTCTTAGCAATGGTTCCATCTTTCATTAATGCCTGAATCCTCAAGCATACCTGCTAACAGCATCCACCCATGAATTATCTCTTGATTCCTCTGAACTGAATTCTTTATCTGCCACGCTTTCTTTTCTTCTTCTCTTAATCGTTAAGACAGGGTATCTCTGTGTAGCCCTAACTGTCCTAGAACTCTCTCTAGGCTAGGCTGGCCTTGAAGTCAATCTCTGCCTCCTGGGATTAAATGTGTGCACCACTGCCCAGCTTATCTGCCATTCTTAATGAAGTTACAGTTTGAAACTAAAAAGAGACCTCTTCTAAACTTCGTATAATGCTTATATGCAATGGTAATCCAGTGGCTCCTTCGTTTTCTTTCTCTCTGTTTTCCTTAACCATACTTATTACTATTCCCAACTGGTTATTTCTCAGCTTTAACTAATATTCCCTGGTTTGTTTGTTTTTTTTTTTAACTACATCACTTATCCTTTCCTGCTTCCCACAGAACACAAAAAGGACTATATCCAGAAAGATCTTTTCACTCTGCCAAATTCCATCCTTTTACAAGCCTGTACAAGAAGCATCCTCTTTATGAAAATCTCCGACTGACTTTGCTACTTCCCGTTACAGAATCGTACTGTACTCTTTCATGCAAACGGATAGGTTCCATTTATTGGGGGGGGGGAAGGTATACCATAGTTCACTAGACCCCAAGCGTCACAGGAAGCTTTACAGTTCTTTACAGTCCTTTACCGAGCTTGACTCACTGCATTTGGCCTGCAGTACGGGCTCAGCTGATGCTAGAATCTGGCTACTATTCCAGATTTAACATTAATGAAATGAAGACCTAACATTTAGCAATTGCTTCTTAGTTGTTCAACTGCCTTTGCACTTTGGCTGCTATCTCTCAAATTAGTAGCCTGGGCAGAGAAAGTGACCACTTAATCACATTTTTTTCAGAGAAGAATTGGTAAGGTAGGCTTTGCGGCGAGCTTTAATCAAGAGGAGGCGATTTGGAAAATATGGGAGAATTAACATTCAGCCCTTTATCGCTTTTCTGAACTCTGAGACACTCTTTTCTTTGATCTTTAAATAACCAAGCCTTTCTCTCAGTTCTCCTTTACTTTCGGAAGACACTAAGAACCGGGAGGTGAGGCAACACCGCCAGGGTCTGTAAAGCCTTCTAAGCTCCCCGCGGGGAACGGCACCTCCGAGGTCTCAGAATCGCGCCGAGAGGGAGGGGCACATCGGGGTTGGCGTAAGTGTCATAACGCTCTTCTCAAGTCCTGGAGGTCTCTGGGTCCTGGGACTCACCTTCTCTCAACCCGCGAGCTGGAAGCCATAACCAACCGGTCGCGGCGGGGCCTGCCAGGAACGCTTGGAGCTGCCGCCCACAACCGGACACCAGAGCCCTGAGGGCCGCCATCTTGGGAACACACCTGACCTCGAGTACACTTCCGCTTCCGGAGCAGGGGTGTGCGCAGCCGCTGTGCGGCGATTGGCTTTCTCGTGGTCTCCCATCCCTTCTGTTTCTATCACTTCCTCTGGCTGCTGGCGGCCAGTCTTCTTCTTCTTCTTTTTTTTTCTTTGGCCGCCAGTCTTCAAAGTTGCCTGTTAGTCTCCCTTGGTAGATTACACGCCACACTGTTTCCTTAGTTTTTCTTCCTGCTGGGCAGCTTTTGTGACTGTCAGGACAGATTGAATGGTCATGGACGCCGAGCAGTGGTGGCGCTCGCCTTTAATCCCTGCACTTGGGAGGCAGAGGCAGGTGGATTTCTGAGTTCGAGGCCAGCCTGGTCTACAGAGTGAGTTCCAGGACAGCCAGGGCTACACAGAGAAACCCTGTCTCGAATTCCCCCCAACTCTCCCCCCCCCCCAAAAAAAAATAAGAAAGAAAGAAAGAAATGGTCATGGACTTTGGCTCTCAGCATCAGACATGGAATAGAATTGACCATCCATCTGTTTATTCTTTGACTACCTGGTAAATGCTTTGTTAGAGTTTACTTCAAACTTCATTCACTGAGGAAATGATCTTGACCTCCCCTCAGTAACATCCATCTTAGTGCTGACACAGTTGCAGTCACACTACCAGACTGTAAGATCCATTAAGACAGAAATCTTGCTCCCCACACCCCCCTTTAATCCCAGCACTCTGGAGGCAGAAACAGGTGAATCTCTGTGAGTTCCAGAACAGCCAGAGCGACATAGTGAGGCACTATCTCAGATAGATAGATAGATAGATAGATAGATAGATAGATAGATAGATAGATAAATGCAATTTTTGTTGACTCTCATGCCCCAGCTCCTAGCCCAATGCCTGATATTTAATAACATAATGATACAGGATATACCTGTCAGTGACTAGGTAGAACCTGTTTTACAAAATAGATTCTTGCAAAGCTTAGATTAACTAAAGCATGTCATGCTCAATAAATATAAGCCGGTAAACAGGACAATTATAAGGATGGTTCTTTTCATAAACTTGACATATTTGCCTTATAAAATTAAAATCAAAAAGAAAATAAAATTGCCTCCTTTCTCTCTTTCAGATTTTCAGGATATGTAGGCTGTTCCACTGAGCTACTTAAGAAAGGAAAATCATTCACACCTCAATTCTTTTTCTTGGCAGTGAGAGAAACTTAATATACCCTGATAATAGAGTAGTTATGTTATTCTGATTTTTCTGGTGAGAAAAATTAGGTCCATTAAATGACACAGCAAAGTCTCTGATGATGGGAAGAGAAAGGGCCTGTTGTCAGTCATAGGGTATCCGGCTGTGCTAGGTGGATACAGTTGTTGCATGAGGAACTTTGTAGCATCACTGTAGGCAAGAAGAACAGGAGAAATACTGTGTGGAGCAGAGGCAGATACAGTTAAGAAATTTGAAAAGTCAGTTGAGATGGGATTGATTGACACATGGATTAGAAGCAGAAGGTTCCTGTGGGGTGCATGTCCACATGTCCCAGCCAGACTCGGGACAATTTTGATCAACCCTTAGATTTCAATTTTCTCTTGCATAGATGACCTTCGGCCATGCCTCCTGTGTGTGTGTGTGTGTGTGTGTGTGTGTGTGTGTGTGTGTTTCCTTCCATATTCCTTGTTTTCTTATTCACTTCTGGGGACTAAGCAGAGGCCAAGGCAGTAACAAAGCCCCTCCCAACAGTTGTGGACTAAAGCATTTAGGTACCAGCCCTTCCCATGTAATCTTTTGTTGTTATTGTAATCAAATTATGTTTTGGGGTGCTGGAGAGATGGATTGGTGGTTAAGAGCACTGCTACCCTTTTAAAGGATCAAGGTTTAGTTCCCACCACCCATATGGCAGGTCACAACCTCCTGTGACTCCAGTCCGAGGGGATCTGATGATCTCTTCTTGTCTCTTAGGGCACCAGGCATGGATGTGGTACACATTCATACATGCAAGCAGCCATCCACATAAAATAAAAACAATCCCTTTCCACTCTGTCCAGGGAGGGGACCAAAGACATCCTTGATTCTTGCTATAACTTAAAAGGAAACTCATAATGTTTGGAGTTCTTGATACCCTACAAGTGGAGGAGGAGGGTGTCCTCAAATTCATTGCAGAAGAAACTGGCTTAGGTGGTACCAAGTTTGGCTTCAGATGGGACGGTACACCCACAAAAGGAAAAATGATGAAATCCATATCGTAAGTCTGGATAGGACCTGGGAAACACCGCTGCTGGTAGCTCCGTCGTTGTTGCCATTGAGACCTCTGCTGAGGTCACATGATTTCTGGGAATACTGACCAGCGCGCTGTGCCACTGCTGGAGCTGCTCCAGCTGCTGGCTGCTATATTCCCGGGACCTTTACTGACTACAACCAACCTTTACTACTACGTGCATTCTTCATGGAAATAGATCTTAAGGCTGACCACCAGCTCCTGAAAGAGGTGTCTTATGTCAATATATTGACTGTCACCTTGTCTAATACAGACTCCTCCACGTGATGTGGGTGTTGTGATTGTTAGATTATTTAAAAGCAGCTGTAGAGAGACAGAGGGTGGGAAGAAAGAAAGGCCTGGTCTGATTATACGTAGACCATATTTATTTCTAGCAAGGGAACATTGCTATCCACATGTGTAGATGGCTAAGATCCCTGCGGAGGAAGAGTGGATGCAGCTCCTTATGGGGCGGAAATGGCTTCTATAGTCTGAAAGGGAAGCTGGGAAATGTACTCATTGGGAAGCTATCATTCTTAACTCTGAGAGAATATAAAAACAAATGCAGGGCCAGGGCATTATAGCTGTTTTTGGCTGAGGAGGGTCTTTTTCAGAGAGGATAGTCCTGGGTCCATTGAAGAGGGGGGTCTTCCGGTCATGTACTGGCGGGAAATCTTAACTTGATTTGCTTCAATGGGTCATGTGATCGCTGTCCTCTATCCCCAAAGAATTATCATTAAAGGACTGTGAGCAGGTGATCTGGTTACAGAGTAGAACTGAGAGATTTCCTGGGAAGGCTGAAGGATACGGGAGGACAGAGACGGGAGGAATGGAGTGGACCAATGAGAGGAAGTGGGCATAGAGTTGACTTAGGATGACAATGACTAGTCCCGTTGACAGGACCGCTGGACCAAAATCAACTGTCAGAAGTAGCAGGAAGCATCAAAGGAAAACAACAAGAAAAAATAGAGGATGAATCTAAAGAATAGTGTCTGGCCCAGGGTGAAAGGGAAGAAGACTCCTTTCAGTCAATGTCTCCACAACATCGAAAAGGTCTTTTAGTAGATGTTTCAAGACTAGAGAGGGCGGTTGTAGGATGAGAGCTACTGCTACTGGGGGAGCTTGCAAGGAAGATTTTATGTGGATCCAGGGTTAAGTTCTGTGAGTTAAACATTTAAAAGATGGGTTAAAAACTTAAGTGTGAGCAGTCAAGGAGTCGGGCTGGTCCCGAAGGCCGTTAAGTCCATCTGAGCTGGGGAGACGGAGATGCAAAGAAGGCTTCAGTCCGGCTGTTTCCATTCTGAGTCCCCAACACAATGTTCTCAATGACGAGAAGAGGGACGCCTTAGATGGCCCATGACACATCAGTCCCCCTTTCAAGGTCACTGAACTGCTTTTAGGGGGTTGGGGATGTCTATCTCTCCGTGACTGTTTTAAGGTTGAAGGCAACACGAGGAGCAACAGTCACAGTGCCTCAGAGGAGGATCCACCCAAGGGGTCACGACAAAACTTAACCGTCAGCAGAAATCCAAAACCGTAAGTCAGGGGTGTGGGAGACATTAAGAGACAAGGAGAAAAACTTTCACATCAGGAGTAGCACCAGTTAAGTGTAATTGGACAAGCGGCAGGACCCTGTTTATAAAAGGATAAGGTAACTAATTATCTGTGGTTACGTCAGTCTCCTGCAAAAGGAACAGGCACCTGGAAAAGAAGTCAGTTAAAGTCAGCATCAAAGAAACAAATCTGAACAGAGAGTCCCCAAGTGATACTCCTTTCTTTCACATATGATAAACTTCATATATTTGTTTCAAATATTAACAATACCCACTATTATTTAATGAATAAAAACATAATATCCAAAGAAAAACACAATTTCTGATTAAAAACAATTTGCTAAGGTAAAATATCTTTTTTTTTTTAAGATTTATTTATTCATTTTATGTATGTGAATACATGGTCGCTGTCTTCAGACACACCAGAAGAGGGCTTCGGATCCCATTACAGATGGTTGTGAGCCACCATGTGGTTGCTGGGAATTGAATTCAGGACCTCTGGAAGAGCAGTCAGCGTTCTTAACCTCTAAGCCATCTCTCCAACCCAAGGTAAGATACCTTAAAAGTGGGACTGTTACCTTAAGTGACCTTATCTAGTATTTGAAAACAGGACTACTTATTTCTGTTACCATCAAGTTATACCTATATTCCAAGCTCATACAGTAAATACATTTTATATTGTCAGGTTGCACAAAGAGACTATTTAATTCTAAGTTGTATTCCCCCAAAAGAAATTATTTCCAACCTAAAAAGTATACTCCCAGGGACAGGGGCTGCCTTGATTTTTCCTCAACAGGCATCCTTCTAGAACACTCTAGAACATCCTAAATCATGGTATTAGTGACTGGCATGTCAAGAGTAGATGATCCATTTTTCAAAGTTTTCTAAAATTACCCTATTAACAGAACCTTTAAAAAAAATCTCTACATTTTCATTCCATACATTGAACCAACAGATGAGCTATGATAGCAGTCAGTCATGTCAAACCTGTAATAAATCATTTACATGTAGGATAGACTGAATTGACAGAGAAGGTCAAAGCCAACTCCACCTCTTTTGTCACCGGACAAAGTTCTAGACCACATTCTGACAGCAGTAAGCACGTTTCCTAACGTCAGACTCTATTGAAAAATAGATTGGTTGTTTAGAAGGGTAATTTGTAAAGTAAGATAATCAAACTAAATAAGCTTTTGGCTTTTGGAACTT